GTGACTCATAATGACCTGATGCGCTAAATGGAGGAAAATGGCCCCAGCTGGCAGTTCCAAGACCGTACATCTTTACAAGAGCAGACTGCCTCTTCTTTCTCTCCAGAACAACTGGTGGCTTTGAACCATGGACCTTTTGGTTAGTATCTCATTACTTAAAACCACTGCTCCTTAGAACTCCTTAGAGAGTGATTAAACTCCACAGTCTCAGAGCCATCAAAGTGACAGCTGCCATGAAATGACATGAGGGGAACCCATTAGCCTTGCAGCTGAGGAGGTGGGGGACTCGGCATCCCCTGAGTCCCTGTCACTCAGCTGGTGGCACCGCCCTCATCCCACGGGCCTACACCATGGCCCTTGGGAGCATTTGCAAGCTTTTAAACCTTTTCCCTCAATTTTCACAGGTTGTTATATTCTAATATAAAAAGTTCTGAAGCATCACACCAGAATTTCATTCCTCAACTGCTCAGTTGGCCACTGACAAGCAGGCTGCTGATAGAGGGTGAAGGAGTCTGGTGGCACATTGGTTAAGTGCAGAGCTGGTCACCAAAATGTCAGTGGTTCAAGCCCGCCAGCCACTCTCAGGAGAAGGGAGACAGTGTGCTTTGTGGCAGTTACTGCCTCCTCAGTAACCCTGCGACACAGTCCTGTTGTCCTGCAGCATTGCCAGGAGTTGGCATCATCTGGCATTGGTGGGTTTGGTTTGGGTGTAGCTATGCCTGGGGATCAGGGTGCCATGGTTCAGCCCTCAGCTGCCAACCGAAAGGACAGTGGTTCAAGTCCACTGTGGAAAAATGAGGCCTTGAGATCTGCTGACTGGGAAGAGGAGCCTCTTGTCAACTTTCGTCATCTAGGAGATGCTTCATGTTCACGAAGCATCATGAAGTTTCAGTGAACCTTTTCCCACTGAGCTCTAGTCTCAGGGGACATCAAGGCCAGGTGGCATAAGACAAAGGCATTGTTCTCCATCCTGTTTGAGGAGTAGTGACCAGAGTTATAAAAGGTTTCCAGAAGCCACCTAAGATACAACTATTGGCACCTCCCTGCCCAGTACAAAGAAGAGAGAAGAAAAGCAAAGATGTACTAAAACAATTAGTCCAAAGGATTAGTGGACCACTGGAATTTCAATCTGCAAGACCGAGACCGTAAGAATTAGATAGTGCCCAATCGCCACTCTGACCGCACTGGAAGAGATCACGGGAAAGGGTCCTGTGTAGAGTGTGGGGAAATGTGGAACAATTCCAAAACATAAAAATGTCAAGGCTACTGCTCTAATAGAGACTATTGGATTTCTTGAGATTACAAATTTTGGTCACCCTTTAAGCCTGGAATTAAACTCACCCATGAGGGTCAACTTGCACTCAACAAACAGGTCTATAAGGTAAACAGTAATACCAGGGAGGCACTCACTCCTTGGAATAACCAATCACCTGCAATTAAAAGGGTAGTATTTGCCCAGGGAGACAGTTTAGTAGGCTGGATGAGATGGTATAGAAGGATCAGTGGAAATCAGAATCACAGGGAGGGAGTAGGAAGAGTGTGCTAATGGGTTGCAGGCAACTTGACAACACACAACAGTAACAATAGTATAAAACAAAATCTATGAATGATTGCATGGAAAACCAATTTGCTCTGTAAACTTTCTTTCAAGTTATAGTGGAAAGTTAAATAAGTAAAATGCCCTTCTCTAAGGGATTAGATGTGGGCTTGTCTGCACTGCTGTCAACCATGGCTGAAAAGTTCTGGAACTAGAAACACAAAGCTGTTGAAATTTCTGTGGTCCACCATTTTCATGGGTTTTGCTAATAATAGTCCTTCACACAGGAAGCCACCAGCAGGAGCCAGCTGTCAGGGACATTAGAGTTGATGTGTCTGTCCCAGAGTCAATACCTAATGAGAAATCAGAAACCACCCATGTGTCAGAGATCTCTACCCCACAGAGTTCTCAGTGGTGGATTTCGAAGGAGGTGGCCAGATCTTTCTTCCACTGCACCTCTAGGAGGATACCCTCAAACTTCCAGATGTCTGATTTGCAGTGGAGAGCATTAACAGTCTGCACCACCCACGCCCCCCCCCCCGAATTCCTTGGATACTTCTGTAAGCCAAAGATAGAAATAAATATACACACATAGCATCCTAGAGATAATGTGCTTCACCAAGATCACTTAAACTCATCTAATATCTACCAGTAGGTAGCTCCGGTGGTCTAGTGGTTAGGGATTGCACTGCCAAATCAAAGGCACATGGTTCAAATCCAGCATTTGGTCCAGGAGAAATATGGGCAGTCTCCTCCCATGTGATTTACTGCCTCTGAAAACCTGCTAGTAGGTCAGCTGTGAGTCCACTCCAATTCCACAATACATAATAACAACAGCATAGCAGTGTCTACCAGTTGACTATAGCGTGGACCAATCAGAGAACAAATCTATCCTGGACGAATGTATCCAGGATGCTCTTTAGAAGCAGGGATGGTGAGACTGCCTCTCACAGACTTCGGGCATGTTGTCAGGAGGGGCCAGTCCCTGGAGAAGGACATCACGCTTGGTAAAGTAGGAGGTCGGCAAGAGAAAGGATGCCCATCGAGATGTCACAGCAGTGGGCGTAGGCACTGCAGGAACTGTGAGGATGGGGCAGGGCTTCTGTTATGCATGGGTCCTGTGTGTCAGCACCAACTCCGCAGTACCTAAGGACAGCAGTAGTTGCCAAGGAACTCACCCTGACTCCTGGCCACCCCAGATGTGTCAGTAGAACTGTGCTCCACAGGGCTTGCACTTATTTTTTTTTCTCTCTGAAGTTTATCACCAGACCTCTTCTGCAGCTCTTCAGTGTGGACTCTGTACTGCCCAGTGTCTAGCTAAGAGGGTTAATGTCACCTTTGTAAAGTATGTGAGAGTGGCCACCACTGTACCCTTCTGAGAAAGAGGGGCCTGCTCCTGCCCCCCTCCCACATGGCCTTTGTTGGAGATGCTACTGCAGAAACCGGTCTCCTGGTTTCTGTCTCCCCACCAAACATGGCGCTCTCGGCTGCTCGCTGGAGCCCACAGGCCTCTGGAAGCCATGTCCCTGGCAGCGTGTAGACAGTCCTGGAGCTGCATCCCCACCATGCTGCAGGCAGAACAAGAGCCCCTTGTGCAGACACACAGCTGCTGCATCTGACGGGGTCCAGGCACAGAGAGCAGGAGCAGGTGGGGCAGCAGGGCCAGTGAGCGGGGGCTGGGGTCTGAACAAGAGTGGGGGGGGCAGTAAACAGAGGCTGGGGGTTGGTCCAGCTGGGGGCTGTACAGCTAGGAACAGGCGGGGGAAGTCCAACTGGAGAGACCAGGAGGCTGAGGCCAGGCAGTCAGCCACTGGAGCTTGTGCAGCTAGGGGCCACGAGTCTGGGACAGTGAAGCCGAGGACAAGGGTTGTGCAGCTGGGGACTCTGAAGAGGTGCAGCCAGGAGCTGAGGGTCTGTGCAACAAGGGCCATGCAGCTGGAGGTCAGGACAGGGGCAGTGCAGCTAGGGCACAGGAGGTAGTAAATCCATCGTGAGAAGCCCCAGACTTAGGCTCTGATGTTGTCCCCTTCCTCCATGTAGGGTTGGAGCCTTGGTGCACTCAGAGGGCTTGGAGTTTCCCGATTGTGAAGAGTCTGACCCCCATCAGCCACCCCACTGTGCACACTGCCTACTTCATCAATTCTTTAGCACTGTGCAAACAGATACTATAACGGGGTGACTTAATGAACAAAAGTTTATTCTGTCACAATGGAGCAGATTGAGGTCTCAGACTGAGGTCTGATAAACTCAGCTCATGGAGGCCCTCTCTCAGTGTGGGTCAGCGGAAGGTCCTGGTTTCCTTCAGTGTCTGCAGGCCCAGTGTTCCCTGAAGAAGCATGTCCTGGATTTTCCTTGTGGCAAGGAGCTGAGAGTCACCATTCTTTCTTGGTGGACAGAGGTCCCCTCACCTCAGCTAATTTCTTCCCCTTTTATATCTAGTGACGTAGGGGGGTGTTATAGAGCACACTCAAGGAGAAATCCCCTTAAGTCTGCTCTGACCTGGGATGTGATTAAGGGGTGTTGCATTTCACTTTAAAAAAAAATAATTAAATTTTATATTGGTACTGATTTACTTACAAAAGTTCATTGTTATTGTTGTTGTTATGTGCTATCGAGTCGCTTGTGACTCATAGTGACCCTATGTGCAACAGCCCTAAACTCTGCTCTGTCCTGTGCCAATCACACCGTCTCCGACACACCCAGCCCCATTACCCCAGTCACTGAATCAATCCACCTCATAGAGGGCCTTCCCCTCCTGCACTGTCCCTCCACCCTCCCAAGCATGTTGTCCCTCTCCAAGGACCAGTCCCTCCTTACAACATGTCCAAAGTATGTTAGACAGAGCCTCAGAATCCTTGCCTCCAAGGAGCTGCCCGGTTTAACCCTCTCCAGGATGAACCTGTTTGTCTTCTTAGCAGTCCACGGTACCCTCAATACTCTTCTCCAGCACCACAGCACAAAGGCATCAGTTCTCTTTCTATCCTCCCTATTCATTGTCCAACTCTCTGATGCATAACAAGTGATTGCAAAGGCATGACCTGTATCAGATGCACCTTAGTCTCCAGAGAGACAACATTGCTCTATAGATTGTTTTTCATGCTGGATCTTTCCCCCTTGCATTTCACTTTTAATCTTCCTATGACTACTTTCTTGAGACATGATTGCGTAGCTTCCACATTATATCATGATATACATGTATCTGGGGAACAAAGTTGTCCATGACACCAGGTCTTCCGTGTGAAAGGCAAAGCTTCTACCACTGAAGCACCAGTGCCTCCCTGCAGAGCCACATGCACACAGACGCTTCGGTGTGAAGCCCACAGACACGCTGTGGCTCTCTGGAGCAGTTGCAGACAGTTTTTCAGGCCAGTGGAGGGAACTGCCTCTGGGGAAGTGACTTCTTTGCAAAATCTCTCTGTGTCTTTTAATACCACATTCTACATGTCTGTTACTGTGCTCATAGGTTGGGAGTCCCAACTTCTGGAGACGGGGTTCCTGGGGATCTTCCTCTGCCCACTGTGGACACTGTCCCGCTTGCCCAGGTACACACCCCCATCCCGGATTGTGGTGTGGGCGTTTCGGTGGCTCATCTTCAGAATCATGCTTGGAGCAGTAAGTAGAACTTTTATTTGTCTTATTTGTTGAGAAGACAGAAGTTTACCTTAAGCTTTGTGCTGTAACAGGTACCAAAAGGGGGTGGCTTTAGCAAATAGAAATTTATTCTCTCACAATCTAGGATGCTAAAGTTCAAATTCAGGGTGTCAATTCCAAGGAAAGGACCTCTCTCACTGTGTCTCCTGGTTCTAGGGTTTTTCTAGTACAGAAACCTGGGTCCAAGGATGCACTCCACGCCTGGACCTCGTTCTCGTGGTGCTGAGGTCCCAGATTCTTGGCTTAATCTCTCCTTTTATCTCCCATGAAACAAAAGTTACTGCAAGCCCTACCCCAGAGAACCCACCTTTCATTAGACCAGGACTGTGACCTAATCCTAATTAAGGATATTTCAGACAAGAGATGAGAAATATGTATTGCACTGGGCAAATCCAGTCAACGACCTCTGTAAAGTGCTAAACAGCTTGAAAGATTAAAGTTGAGAAGTGCCTGCCCTGAGCCACAGTGTCTTTAATTGCCTCATATGCATGTGAAAGTTGGACACTTAATAAGAAAGATTGAGAGGACTCACTGCCTTTGAATTGTGGTGTTGGTGAAGAGTACTGGTTATACCATGGATCAAACAGATCCATTTTGGTGGAAAGGCAACCAGGTTGTCCTTAAAGGTGAGGATGGTGAAATTTCATCTCATATGCTTTGGGAAAAAGACATCATGCTGGGAAAGTTGGGGGGTCAATGCAAAAGACCCTCAAAGAGATGGGTTGGCTCAGTGACGCAGATGGTCTTGAGGTGCAGCAGGTTGTGAGGATGGTGTGGGGTCAGGCAGGGTTCTACACAGCTTACCAAGAGATGGAACAGACTTGAAGGCACCTGAAACCACAACAGGCCTGCCTCATTTAGGTCAAAAAGGTTAGCATCTATAACACAGAGGTAGTGACATTATTCTGAGAATCATGGCCTGGCGAGGTTGACACCTATTTTGGGGGGTAATTCAAGACACTCTGACATCCTCTTTGTGCTTAGCATTTGCCCCGTCATTTTTTGGACCATCTGTGCCTTGTTTTTCTGTCCTCTTCCCCTCCTCAGTTTAGGTCGATGCCACTGCCCACCATCAGGCTCCGACTCTGGTCAGCCTGCAGCCCGGCGGGTCTACCGAGGACCTTCTCACTTGTGCTGCAGTCGTTTTGGTTTGGCATTTTCTTTTGCCTCTTCCCTAGAACGCCCAGGCCTCTGCACCCTTGCTCATCTGTCCTTAGCATGTAACCATACTGTTGTCATCTTCGGGCACCCTTGAGTCAGTTTGAACTCCAACCTTGTGTACAACAGGTTTGAACTCCTGACATCTTGGTTAGGAGCTGCTGTGATTCCAGAGAAGCTGTGGCTGTTTGGAAATGCTGTGTAGTCATAACAAACAAGTAAGAAATTTCCCATAGCCCTGAGCAAGAAAGCCAGCAAGGGTAATATATTAAATCAATTAGCAAGTCAGATTCTTTTTTTCTTTTTCTTGACATAAGGTGTTCATTAGCTCAAATTGGTTTTTTGGAATCAGCACCAATATAAATGTATTAATAAAACAACAACAAAATGTAAAAAAAAAAAAGGAAAAAAAAAGAAATGCTGTGTAGTATTCCCGGCCCAGCCCTGTCCTCACAGTGTCCGCTGTGTGTGAGTGCATGTGCAGCCACCGTGTCTGTCTGTCTCACAGAGGGTCTTCCCCTCTTCGGTGGCCCTCTGATTTATAAGCATGAGGTCCTTCGCCAGGTGTCTGGTCCCTTATGATAACATGTGCGGAGGGCACGGCATGAAGTCTCACCACGTTAGTCAAGCCCACTGCCGTCTCCTGGATTCCGACTCAGGTGACCCTCTGAGACAGAGGAGAACTGCCCCACGGGGTTTCCCAGTTTGCCGATCCCCCTCTCCAGGGGGTGGCTTGGATGGGATTTGAACCAGCCTTTCAGTTAGCAGTGAGTGCTTAAACACCATGCCACCAGGGCTCCTTTTTAGCCCCAATCCCTAAATTGCTGTTGAGTCAGTTCCAGCCTATTGTGACCCTGAAGACAGAGTCCAGGTGCCCGGTAGGGTTTCCAAAGCTATAAACCATTACAGAAGCAGACTGCTTCATCTTCCTCCCTCAGAGAATCTTGAAGGTTTGACCTGCTCAAGTGCTCAACCCATTGTGCCACCATGACTCCTGAGCAGCCGCAGCTATTTGGAAATGCCATGTGGTAAGAAGCAGCGCTGCAATCTCAAAGGCACATGGTTCAAATCCACCAGCTCCCCAAGGGAGCCTCCTCCCATGTGCCTTATTGCCCCTGAAAACCTACTGGAGGGTCAGCTGTGGTCAATTCTGGCTTGGCAGCAACAACAGCAGCATGCTGAAGGTGGGAGTCAAGGAGGTGGCCATGTGACCAGGTCACACAAGACAGCCTGAGGACCCCTCTAACTTCATCTTCCCAACCATTTGGAGAGAAGCATTGTCACAGTTCCCTCTCACGAAGAGCCGAGCTCCTTCTGTGTCCCCAGGCATGACGCACCTGTCCGAGCTCTTCTCAGCCATCTCAGGTCTAGTTTTCCGATTTCTCCCCTGCTGGTCTTGACCAGTATAGACCTGGACCAATGTCTACAAGGACCTGGACAGGAATCCCGGCAGGAGGCGGCTCCCGAGGTAGAGCGATGCTGGTCGCTCGCTGCCTGATCAGCGAGACTCCCTGCGTCCCTGCGAGCTGAGCGGGCCGCACACCGGATGCGTAGCCTGCGAGGTGCTGAAGCAGTCAGTGTTTTGATTGACTGTCAGTTGGCTTAAAAAAATTAATAACAGTGGAATAAGGGTATCAAAATACTCATCCTTAATCATCTTCACACTTACTATGTATCAGCTTTTAATCATCCTAAAAACGTCATGTAGCACCCACAGTGACGCTGGCACTATTGTAGATCAAATCATGTCCCCCCAGGAGTCTCTTGAGCAACTTAACCACATGCAGTAGCGATGACCCTGTTTGGAAATGGGATTTTTCTGTCCTTTTTTTAAAAATTTATTATGATTGAAACAAAAGTTTACAGAAAAATATTTTCATTCATTAATTGTTGCACATTTTCCTCCCTACCCCACCAGTTCACTTTTTTCTTTAAAAAAATATTCCTTGCAGAAAAAAAAATCATTTCTGTTGCATAATTCCCTCCCTTCCCCCCCTCCTACTCCTCCCCCAGTTCACTTTGCTATGCACCTCTTACTTTGGACTTTGTCATACAGATATTGCCTAATCATGTATTCCTTTTAAACAATTCTTTCCTTAATCTATTCTAATACAGTGTTCATTATTTATCCCCTTTTCTTAGTTTCGCCCGAACTCCCATGTCAGTCCTGTTTTATAACAATGGTGTTACACAGTTTTTGTCCTTTTGTAATGGAGATATTTCACTCAGAATATTCAGAAGATTCTGAGACCTCCAGGGTCACCCATCCTGTGTAATATTTTATTATAGGCTCCTAGTTTTTCAGTGCTGCATAGTATTCTATAGTATGAATGTACCACAGTTTTCTGTCCACTCATTTGTTGATGGGGCTACATAGCCTCTGTAGTCAAACAGCTGAGCACTGGTCCAGCCACAGACACATGGACAGTGGACCAGGATTGAGGACTCACAAATTTATCCATCCACTCCTAACGGCTCAGCTATGACAAAGAGCTGGAATCCACTAAGTAGGGGAAAGATGCTGCGAAAGCAGATGATCCAGTCATAGGAAAGTAAAAACAGGACCATATTTCATATCATCTTTTTTGTAAAAAGCTGACCAGCATTTTGCAAAGTGTCTTAGTTTTCTAGTGCTACTGTAACAGATAGTCAGCTGCTAATAGTCTCTTATGCTGTGACCAGTGTCTCTTAAGTTTAGTGGTAATGTTTTCTGAGCGAAGGTGATGTGTCCTGTAGAACTGGTGTGTAGACAGGTTTTTTCCTTGGCCCTCGGGCCTGACGGTCTTCGGTTCCTCCGCCTGGGAAGTGGGTGGAGGGTTTCAAGGTCCCTTGGCTGTCCCGCTTCTCCGCCTTTCAAGATCCCTTTCTTTCCCCCTCTATGTGACCTGAGAAACAGATCCCGCACGGTCCTCGGTCACCTGAGAAACGGATCCCGCACGGTCCTCGGTCACCTGAGAAACGGATCCCATGTGGTCCAAAGTACTGAAGAGCAATGGTGTCTCTCTGGAGACTAAGGTGCATCTGATACAGGCCATGATCTTTGCTATCACTTTTTATGCATCAGAGAGTTGGACAGTGACTAAGGGGAATAGAAGGAGAATTGATGCTTTTGAGCTGTGGTGCTGGAGAAGAGTATTGAGGGTACCATGGACTGCTAGGAAAACAAACAGATTCATCCTGGAAAGGGTTAAACCAGGCAGCTCCCCTGGAGGCAAGGATTCTGAGACTCCATCTAACATACTTTGGACATGTTGTAAGGAGGGACCAGTCCTTAGAGAGGGACATCATGCTTCGGAGGGTGAAGGGACAGCGCAGGAGAGGAAGGCCCTCTATGAGGTGGATTGATTCAGTGACTGGGGTAATCGGGATGGGTATGTTGGAGGCAGTGTGATTGGCACAGGACAGAGCAGAGTTTAGGGCTGTTGTACATTGGGTTGCTATGAGTCTCAATCAACTCGACGACACATAACAACAACTGTAACAGACACCACACAAGTGGATGGCTTTGACACAGAGAATATCATTCTCTTACTGTTTCAAAAAGGAATTCAACTCATTGTGTTGAGTTGAACCAACTCATAGCTGACCCTCCAGCAGGTTTTCACAGGCTAGAAATTGCATGGGAGGAGATTATGTATCTTTCTTCCTTGGAAAAAGAAACCTCCTTGCTAACAATTTCAGCTTGTTTGAGTCCACAATCAACACTCTTTACTTCAGCAGTCAGGAAGTCAAAAGATTAGTTGTTTCAGGACAATCCACTATCAGAGACCTCTCTGAATGCTGAAGAGCAAAGATGTCAGTCT